GCAATTGCAACAACAGTTATAAGCATTCATATCATTACAAAGAAAGTGCAAAAGAGGCCCATAGGATAATCGTGATGGTTGCTGACAAAGTTTTATGGAATGCTATAACTGTTGTTACAATTACATGGAGGAATTTCACATTACCCTTTTAAACCCATTTTGAAGCTGTTTTTGATCCGTCGTGGTGTAAACCGATATAGGGCTGCCATTTCGAACATGGCTTTCCCCTTCCGGTAAAGAGCTGGATCTGAAGCAGTTTGCCATTTCAGACTGCACTGCTTTCCCCCCGCCATTTTTCGCCCGTGCGGGTGAAAAACGGCAGGGAAAAAGCGCATCGGAACCGGGAGAGGAAACTGAAGACTACTTGGAAGCAGTTGACAGGTAAAACGCTTCAGCCCCGTTTCCTCAACGGGACAGAAGCGTTTGTGTCTGAAATTAGAAATATATTCCGGTAGGGAACCGGTTCTAAAACGGTTCTGTCTGAAATGACAGACCAGAAACCGTTCCTCTTCCGGATTATATCGTCTGTCTGAAATTCCTCAATTGTTTCACTTGGAGTGTGCAGCTTTACAGCTTCCGGCTTTGTTCTTTGGGTCATTCGGAGCTGTGACTTCTGTGATGTATGTACATTTCGGAGGGTGGACTGGATGGCCTCGCACCCTTGCTAAGTCCCCTCTCCAGCCCAAACGCCGCCCTTCCCGGCTCCGCCCCCAGATCTGCGGGGGTTTCCCGACCTGGGGCTGGCAATCCTGCCCCTGGACATGACGCTGTTGTAAGAAGCCACAATACCCCGGTAACGATTGCAACAGTTACAATACCCAGCAATTAGCAATTGTTCTGGAAAATGTCCAGGGCCTGGCTGCTTTGATTCCTTCTGCAACGTAAGCAGACAGGAGGCGAAAGCCACGTGGGTGAAGCCCCGCTGGAACAAATCTGGAGGTATGTTTTGTTTGCCGTGGTACGCTATAGCTTCCCCACCCGGTAACCTTGACACTGCTGGAAACAAACACACAGTGAAAACCGTGTGTGTGTGTGTGTGGGGGGGGTTAACGGGGTCAAAACGTCCAAAGCGTAAAATGTTCTGACCGCCAGGGCCGGTGTTCCTCACTACTGTCGGCTTCTCTGAGTCATCCCCAAACAGCACGGGGATCCGACCGCTGCCAAAACCTTGGCTTCTCCAGCCCCAGGGATCTCACTGTTCACTTCACACTCTCGATTTTCAGGCGCACAGTGGCACCCCATTGTACAAGTGGCACATGGGTTTTGAGATTCATGGGCACTGGCTGGGTGGCCTTGAGCCCCTCACGCCCTCTCTCCGCCTAGCCTACCTCACAGGGTTGTTGTGAGGATTAAATGGAGGGGAGGAGAATGACGGAAGCCACCACTGGGTCCCTATCCGGGAGAAAGGTGGACCACAAATGAAGTAAAATAGAATTTAAAGAATAAAATTTTTAATAATCCAAATTAAAATCACAATTTACAAGAAAGGGGGGGGGGAACCTCTAAACGAGTCCAATGCTGCCCTGAATAAAACTGTCTTCAGCTGCCTCCTGAAGAGCTAAAGTGAGGAGACCAGGAGCACCTCCCTGGGGAGATCATGCCGTAATCGCGGGGCTGCTACTGAAAAGGCCCTGTCTGGTGTACCCGCAAGAGCTTCTTTGGGTGATGGGGCAGTCAGGAGGGATTCTCTCTGTAAGGGCCAGTTTGGTGGAGTGGTTAGGAGCGCGGACTCTAATCTGGGAGAAGCGGGTTTGATTCCGCGCTCCTCCATGTGCAGCTGCTGGTGTGACCTTGGGTCAGTCACAAGTTCTCTTACAACTGTTCTCTCAAGGGCAGCTCTCTCGAGAGATCTCAGCACAGGGTGTCTGTTGTGGGGAGAGGAAGGGAAAGGAGATTGTAAGCCACTCTGAGATTCCTTTGGGTAGTGAAGGGTGGGGTATAAATCCAATCTCCTCCTCCTCCTCCTCCTCCTCTTCTTCTCCTTCTCCTCCTCCTTCTCCTTCCTCTCCTCCTCCTTCTCCTTCTTCTCCGAAGACGCTCCTTCAGTAACAACCGTTCTGTCTGTTAGGTGCTGTGTAAAATCTGTCCTGCTTCTCCATGCTTTTAACCAGTAATTTGTCTGGGTGAGATGCATAATGATTCTGGGGACCAAACGAGATAAAAATATATTGCAGCCCGTCCCTCGGCTACAGCAG